CTTATATCTATGTTAACAGGAAAGATAATCTCTTTTTTTAAACTTTAAATGTGGGGAACAAAGCCTGTAAGCTTAGACTGTGTATCTGAAAACAAAATCCAAAAAAATCTTTCTCATTTCTTTAGAAAGTTTAGGCCTTGTTTTTATCTAGACATCTGTGAGAGGTTTTTGTCAGTGGATTCACACAATGAATGATTGCTTATGGTTTCTTCTGTCAGCTTTTAGTTTGGATGCTGAACAGCCTGATTATGATTTGGATTCTGAAGATGAAGTATTCGTGAATAAACTGAAAAAGAAAATGGACATCTGCCCATTGCAATTTGAGGAGATGATTGACCGTCTAGAAAAAGGCAGTGGTCAGCAGGTACAACTTAATTGTATATATAATAAGAGCGTGTGTGTGTGTGTGTGTGTGTGTGTGTGTGTGTGTGTGTGCGCGCGCGCATGCGCATTTATATAAACATCGACATTTGTATGGAAAAAGTATAATGTATAATGTATAAAAGTATAATGGGCAAGGGTAAGTGAGCAGGCTCTGGAGTTAACAGCACTAAGTCATATCCCATCTCTGCCCACTATAACCTGCATAATCTTGAGCAATATGTTTAAATTTATCTGTGCCTCGGTTTTCCCTTCTGCAAAATAGAGATGATAGGATTGTGAAAATTAAATAAAATAGTGTACATAAAGTATCTAGCTCAATGACTGACACGTGCAAGATATTCTGCATATGTTTGCTATTGTAAATACTGTTATTATTTTGATGGTTGTCATTTAAATTTAGAAGTACTTTTGAACCTTACATATGTATTATATGAAAATGACATAATAATTTTACATTTAGCCAGTCAGTCTGCAGGAAGCCAAACTACTGCTAAAAGAAGATGATGAATTAATTAGAGAAGTTTATGAATACTGGATTAAAAAGAGAAAAAACTGTCGAGGGCCATCTCTTATCCCATCAGTAAAACAAGAAAAGCGAGATGGTTCTAGCACGAATGATCCTTATGTGGCTTTTAGAAGACGTACTGAAAAAATGCAGACTCGAAAAGTAAGTGAATTTGGGAAATTGGGTGGGAATTATTTTTTGATACAAGAAAAATTATGTATAGTTGTGAATATCAATATCTGAAGCCTGTTTTATAATTTGTGTTTAAATACTTTCTATATAATATAATGAAAAATAGTAATTTAAAATGAGTCGATCTTAGGCTTCATTATGGAGCTGTTGATATATTTTAATGTTAATCCATTTAAAATCATACAAAAAATTGATTTCCTGGTGATGCATGCCCCCTTTCACTGTTTTTAAATTCTTCTCTAACCCTTCAAATATATATGTTCTTATATATAGCAATAGCTATTATGTTCAGAGTGCCACTAGCTAACAACGTTTATTGACATTAAACAAGTAAATTTATATTTGCAGAATCGCAAAAACGATGAAGCCTCTTATGAAAAAATGCTTAAGCTGCGTCGAGATCTAAGTCGGGCTGTTACTATTCTAGAGATGATAAAAAGAAGAGAAAAGAGTAAAAGGGAGCTATTGCACTTAACACTGGAAATTATGGAAAAGAGGTAAAGTATATTTTAATAATGTTAGGAAGTATGGTACCATTAGCATTTTCTATATTGAATTAATTTATTCCCTAAGCAGTTCTCTGTAACTCCAGAAATATCTTCTTTTAATAATAATTAGAAACTATTTAAATGTGTGGTATGATATACTTTGTATAATTTTACGTATGTTCCTCTCTTCTCTTTAAAAGTGACTGAGTTCGGTAAAATTAAAATGTGCCAGGTATTTCCATTTTGAAATCCTATTCTATTGTCCTTACGTGACTGCGCACAGGGCTATGAGGAACAGAGCATTTGTTAATTTAAAGTTTTTATTTTACTTACTAGATAGTACTGATTTAAAAAAAAAAGCACAAGGAAGGGGAAAAGGTTTATAACATTAACATTCAAATAAGCATTCAGCAAGGTACACAGTGAAAACTTCAAGCCTTATTCCCCTATTTCCTAGCCCCTAGAAAACCATTATTAAATTTCTTGTGATTCAGTTCAAAAAAATTAGTTTTATAGCACAGGCAATTCAAATTAGCAGAAAGTTCCTCAGCCCCATTTTAAGGTATTAATTTCAACATCTCCACCAAGTCTTTCACCAGAATTGCTGAGTTAAAATATGAACCTTTGTTTTATCCCCCACAATCATATGCTTATGGTGCCGAGATGATGTTATAATTCAAAAAGTAAAAGGAAGAAACCAAAAGAATTGTGTAATCTTTAATTTTAATAAGCATTCAGCAAATTAGTCAAAGTTTAACTGTAATTGTACCAAGTCTAATCAGTGTTTATAATTACATCTCAGTTGGTTATTAATAGTAATAAGGATAAGTACTTACCGAAATAACTTTTTAAACTTTTTTTTTTATGATTTCAGGTATAGTTTGGGTGACTACAACGGAGAGATTATGTCTGAGGTTATGGCACAGAGACAGCCGGTGAAGCCTACTTATGCCATCCCCATCATCCCTATTACTAATAGCAGTCAGTTTAAACATCAGGAAGCAATGGATGTGAAGGAATTTAAAGTTAATAAGGTGATTAAAAGTTCTGTGATGATAGTAGCTGATGATGGAGTGGTCTTTTATCACTAAAATCAAAGTGAAAAAGGAAAATACATAAAAAGCTTACCACGAAATATGCTGCAAAGTCCGATTTTTGATTCAGGACTGGCCTGTTGATACAACAGGAGAGCTTGTAAATAATAACTTTTCCCAAAAAAACCATAATGCCATAAACTGCATAAAACTTAAAATAGTTAGCATATTTATATAACCATGGTCCTTGCCATGAGCTTTTTCCTCCCAACAAATACTGTTTTTGCCTCTAATCTTTCTTGCCTTTTTCCTACACATTAAATTCATACCTCTCCTAGCCTCTGCCATCCCTTCCATTCACATTTCTGTAACATGCTGCTTATCAGCTCAATCACTTTTGCCTCTGTATTTGATCCTGGTGTTTCTCCTGTTTAATGATTTCATGTTTTTATCCTCTAAAACTGCTCAGTCCACCCCTGCAGAATGCCTTCACTTTTCAACTAGTAGTAAATCCTTACTACCCTTTATTTTCATAACACCTTAGCTTTATAGCTTTATT